TGCTCCCGCTCTCAGCTGCAGCAGGAGAGAAGGAACAAGGCGCGCGGAAGCTTGTCTTCGCGCGTTCCCTCCCTCCTCCCGCCCGAGGGGCAGCACTGCAGAGATAGCGCTCTTCCGCACCCGGGGAAGGCGGGCGGGCGGCCGGGCGGGGGGGGGGCAGCGGCGGCGGGGCGGCCGCCGCCAGAGGGGCTGTACCTTCCACGCCGCAGCGCCGGAGGATCTTTCCTCCTCCTCCTCCTCCTCCTCCTGAGGAGTTTTGTACTCGCCTCAGAGCAGAGATTGTCGCCTTTCCCTGCAATGGAGCCGGCGGGAGCGGCTCTCACTGGGCCGGCGGCCGCAGGAACCTCGACGCTGTTTTTGGCGGGGAACGAGCAGCAGTATTTCTCCGAGCTCTTCTCGCTTTGCGGCGGCCAGCCTACTCCCGAGGCGGGACCTGGATTGGCCCCCCCCGCTGTCGGGGGGGGTAAAGTGGCAGAGGTGTTCCGAGCGTCGCAGCTCCCCGCGGAGATGCTCCATCAGGTACCTAAGTGACCACGAGCCGTACGCAAGAGCCTAGGATTCCGGAGTCAGGAAGAGAGGAGGGCGTTCTGCACATGTACAGAGTGCTTTTATCTCAGGAGTGACCACCAAGAACAGCTTTGGGGTGAGGATTTCAGGTAGAGGGTGTGGCCTCGACCAAGATTGGAACTGTTGACTTTTGCTAGGGAAAAGCGGGGGAAACGGCTGGCTTGTGTCCTTTCTTCCTCTTAAACAGAGTTATCAACCTCCAACAGATGTTAGTTATACTGAAACATGCTAACATATGGTTAACTGGATTGTGCCTTACTGAATTAAAACTAGCGGTATAACACACAAAACCACAAAATAGTCTGGCACGTCTTAGCCAAGCGTGTTGTGTGAAGTCAGCTGGTGTGATTGCTTTATACTTTTAGAATTGTAAGAATTCAAGTGCTTGGTTCAGTTCAGTCCAACGTGGTTTATAATGATGTTAAAACATGCTAACAGGGATTTTTCATTGATTTCCCCCCCCATCTTGCTCTTCACTCAAACACCATAGCAATACTTGCATTTGTTTGTTCTGTTCCGCTCTAAAACAAAGTTTTTATTCCCCCATCTTATTAGAAGTTACTGGAATTTTCTTTCGTGGGTAAAGGATATGAATCCTCAAACTGGTGCTTAAGCTCGGGCTTTCTGTCTGATAATACAATTGGAAGATGATCTTTTCAATACTGACTTGCAGAAATACACTGGGTTGCTAAAGTTTGCAAAAGTATATTCATTGAACTCCTGCTGAAAGTGTTTGTTTAGAAAAGCTAATATCCCACACATTTCCCTGAATGAACATATGTTCCAGCTGATGCACACATTAGAACAATGATTAAAACAGTTTCATACAGATCAAATTCACAATAGGATTTAAATATAAGAGCTAAAAAAACTCTCTACAAAGTGAAGTTACTGTGTGAAAGATGATATAAAAACTGGTTGGTGGTTTCCTTTTACCCATGTTAATTTAGTATGAATTTTAGATTTGGTTTTTGAAATAGGTAATTATATTAAAATCCACTGCCTTCTGCCAATATAATTTATATTATAAATCTACTACAAATCCCAAGTCATTCATAAGTTTTGTTAGATGAAGTTTATACTGTTCCAGTAACTGTTCACAAACTTCTGATTTTTGAATGCTGTTTATTAAATCATATTTCTAAGGCACTGCAAAATTAAATACCACTGGGAGATGGATTTGTATTTTGCCATGGAGAAAAGCCTTAATTTTATGCTGTCTCATCATCTAACTTCCTTTGTTTCCTCTTAAGCCCACAAAGGAAGGATAAAAAAACAAATGAAAACAAATAGTTGCAGCTGTAGAGACACATTGCTATTGTTTACCATATTCCTCCTCCACTAACAGCTGCTGCTTATGATAGAGCTATCTTTCTGTAACAGGCATTATTCATTTCCATTTTCTGGCCTGAAATCCTTAGCTTTTATTTCAAAATTTGACTCGTAAGTTTAACTTTTTCAATTTTTCAAATAGTGTTTTATTATATTTATTGCAATTGTTTATATGCTACCTATTTGAATGACTCCAGGATGTTTACAACAGCATAAATATCCATAAGATCCAACATATTAAAAATATAAAATCTTTTAAAAATCTACTGGTATCTTCCATAAAACTCACTTGCCTCAAAGTCTTATGGAAGATGAAGATCTTTGTCTGCTTTCTAAAGGATAAAAGGTTGGAGGGCCAGTCTTAAATCAGAGGGTAAAACTCTTCCAAAGTGAGAGGCTGCCTTGGTTCTCGATTACCACCCTACAGATATCTCTAGGGGTGAGTACCCAAAGCATCCTCTCCCAACAGTTCATGTTGGCTAGCAGTTTCTACCTAGAGAAGACAGTCCCAAAGGACTGTCACATAAGCCATATAGGCTTTTCACTAACATTTCTAACAATTGTTGCTCTTTCATCTTTAGATTGTTCAATATTTTCAGTGGGGAGGGAAGGGCATAATTATTAACATGACTATATGTTTATGGCATTAATTAATATTTTGTAATGAATTTAAGAGAGAGCCAGTTTGGTGTAATGGTTAAGGCATCAGGCTAGTCCTGCCTTAAGCATGGAGCCACGTGGGTGACTTTGGGCCAGTCAGTCTCTCTCAGCCCTAGGAAGAAGGCAATGGGCAACCACTTCTGAAAATCTTGCCAAGAAAACTAGGCTGTCACTAGGAGTCAATACTGACTTGAAGGAACACACACAGACCCAAAAAGAATTTAAGAATTGAAATGTAAACTTGAACTAAGAGACCATTTTGAATTTAAAAATAAACTAAATATTGATCATGCATACTATAGCAATAAAACTGAGTTGGTTTGAGGGTCAATTATTTGCTTTGATCCATGGAATTTAAATACAGTTAAAAGCTGCAGAGGAGAGAGATGCCTGTTCACATACACATACATGATGCTATTTTATTGAGGGACCTCCTGGTCTTAAAATAACCACAACTGTCAAAAGAGAAAAAAGGAATGGGTCTAGTCACTGATTGCTTCATTCTCAACTTACTTTTATTCTCCAGAATCAGGAGGAAGAATGTGGGTAACAGAAAGTGTTGCAGTATTACTGTATCAGAGAGAAGTTAGTAATTATTGATTTTAGCTGGAATTATGCATATTCAAGTATATGCATAATTGCGGTCATAGGAATACATTTAAAAGTCAGTTAACAAGTTCTAAAGTTCTTTTCCTGTGCCTCCCTGCCTGTGGCAATTGGCTTCTTCTTTCAAATTGTGCAACCTGGGTCACTGTTGTATGTTTTCTGCCCCCAGTTTTGTTAGTGTATTAGAAAAATCTTTGTAGGTGGTTAAGGTTGGATTTTCCTAGATTTACGAATGATGCTTCTGAATCAGAATATATACATAAAACGGTAAACATCCCCTTCTTATAAAGCTAATAGCATGATGGTAATTTAATTCATTTTAACAATGTATTTTTATTATTTATAATACCATTTTGGATTAATCCTTTATTATCCTTTACAATAAATGAAAAAGTAGAAGAAAATGTAGGCTTTCTGGGTTATGTGTAATTATATAAGCAATGCTCTTCAAAACACTGTACAGAGAAACTATGTTAAGATCTAAGTTGGGAAGCAGGTAAAACTAGTTAAGCCTTAAAGGCATTAATAATTGTGTTCTCTTTCTCAAGCACTGTCTCTCATTAACTCTCTGTCAGTTTACCATTACAAGCAGCTCATAATCTCTTGAGCACCTGTGTTTTGGTTTTTGGCATGTTTTCATAATATAGAATCTTATCTGTGTCACATACCATGAAGCAGTGGGCTTCAGTGCACTTTGATCATGGTGTGGAAAAGATAGTAAATAGTGGACTTGATTTGCAAGCCTGGGAACACCTTTTTCTATTATTTGGGACCTTGCTGTTTGCTCAAAGTGCAGAGAGCTTACCTCTGAACATAGCACTTGTTGTTCAGGTGTTATCTTTCATCACTAAGACCAATGCTTTTGTTTCTTTACAAATCTATTTACAGCATTTCTTTTCTACTGTAGGTCTTAATAAACATCAAGCTTTGATATTTGCAAAATTATATATTCCAAGTTGTTTAAGCAAGAGATGACATGGGAATGCGTAAACATAAAATAAATAGGTGATACCAGCAATTCTGTGCAGTTCTCTTCTGCTATTTTACATCATAATACTTTGGAGTCCTTGGGGTTCTCTGAGCTTGGTTCTTTTCTTGCAAACGTTTCATTGCCCGGCTAACACTGAAGATGTTACCTAGCCGGGC